ATATTTAATAAAAAAAATTAATAATTTCCTTTTTATTACATGGTAAATACAATAAAAATTTTATTTTATTTTTTTATTGCGTGATAAATTATTTTTATACACTGAAATACAACGCAAAAAATTGATTAAATCCTATGCGTCCCGATAATGTTTAACAACTCTATATTATAATATTACAGCCGAATAGATGTAAGTGATATAAATACATATTTATCCTTCCCATTTTGTACAGGCGCTTAGAGTTATAAATTTTAATATTAAATATTATGTATTGCTAACGGTAGGTTAGACATAGTATTTTTATCGTTTTATTTTTATTAATAAGTATCTACATAAAAAAATATGTAAACATGAAAATATTATTTTGAATTCTTTAAAATTTTCAGATCATTTTATTTATTTTTAGTACATTGTACATTTATGGGATCTTTTAATGTAAATTAGAAAATTTAAAATATCAAAGAATATTGTTTTCATTAATATTTCCATCAAAATATTCTGAATCCAATACACCGCGTGCTGTTTTATTATTTGACTCTGCAGGTAGAATGTACCTTTATAGGTATTCTTCATTTGTAACAACTATTAACTGTTCTATTTATAAATACAATAATGTATTTATCTATCTGTAGTAGTCATCGAACATGATGTTTTATACCGAAAATCAAACAAATGAAATTAATTTGTCAGTTGGAGTCAAATCTTGATTGTATTAATTTTGTGAGTATACTTGTACTATTTATATTTTATTTATTTTGCATACGTAATTTTGGTATTTTGTTTTTAAACATTGATATTAGTGACGATAAAAAAGTGTTAAAATGATGAAAGTTAAAACATCATTTTAGTCTGATTAGCACACCTATCAAAAAATAGGGTAAATTTTAAGGACATTATTGAGCTGGAAAGGAAATTTTAGGGATTTTTTTTTAGAAAATGTTTTAATATTGTTAGGGAATTTAAATCTGGGCCCTAATAAACATCATACAATTAATATTTAAAAAAAAAAAACCAAAAACTTGTTCTGATGTACTTTGTCATTGAGTATAATATTACTGTAATGGATGTGTTAAATTCGTATCTTGTAACCGCTGTAACCATAAATGATTTGCATACAAATGGTTCTAAGCAGAGTCCGTTTGTCGTCTATATTTCTGAGAATATTTTATTAAATATATAATGTGTAATAATATTAATATGTATATATTATATTTACGTGGTTATTAAAGTCCTTTATTTGTATTATTCATACTACATTAGATTAAATAAACTTTTATTAAAGGGCGAAAGCGCATTTATTATATTATTAAATATTATAATAATATATTATATCTATATAATATTTGATACATAATTTATTGTTCCTAATTTTTTAATTAATACCGTAAACTAGTGTCAATAGCTTTATAGCCCAATCAAAGCTGAGTAAAAATGACATTATTCAATTTAAGTTAAAAAGTTAGTTTTATTTTAAAAATTAAATTAGAACTTTTAATTTTTAACCTTTTTTATCAATGAATATTGACTTATCTGAATTAAAAAAAAAACATTAATTTACATACTTCTGGATATAAATAGCTAAAACTTAATTTAAATACATTAACAATTTCATTGTATCAAGTAAATAATTATATACGTAGTAGTTAAAAGTTTCAGGTTCCTATATGGATAATATTTTGAATAAAAATAAAATAATATTTAAATAATATTATTAAAAAATTTAAACTAAAAAAAGAAATTAAAATAAATGTTCATTTGTATTAATGAGATTTTTAGGTTTCCGTAAATGCAATTTATGAGAAACTTTATATTCAGTTTTAAAGTTTTAACTGTAAAAATTAAAAATTTAAATATTAAAATTTCAAATTTATTAATTTTTAACTGCAAAATAATATACAAATTTATATGATTTGCACGGATTTCATTAAAATTTAAACTTTGAAGGCTTATAAATAAATATTGTTCCTGTACATTTTAAATACCTTATATTGACACAAAACCAACATTTATAGGATAATGTGTTGAATTTTTAAGGTTTTTGATGGAATCTAAAAATTGTTATTGATATTTTAAAAATTTATTTTAATTTATTTATTTTTTATGATCAATATTTTTTGAATAATAAGAAAAGTACCTACATTATTTAATATTTAATGTCGTAAATATTTGAATTTAATTAGCTCATAAAATATGTGGCAATACGTGCTTAATTTTCTTGTTATTATTTCTTAGTACTTATCATTATTTTTGGATCTGAGATGCAATTCTGTACGAAGTGTAAATCAAACAAATTGTAAAAGATAAATCAAGGATGATGTATTACAGCTTGATTATTTTGATAAATAGGTATGTCACATTGCTACTTGAAACATTTCTATCAGAGCCCTGCTCTTAATCAGTTGTCCGACAGAACTTTGTTTAATGCTACTTTTAAGATACAGCAAACGATTGGATCTCAAGATCCTTTTTATATTAATTTCGTCTGAAAAAATTTAAATTATCATACTAATTTTGTTCAATGTAAATGTATTATTTCCTTATCCATATAATACAGGCTTAGGATTGTCAATAGTCAATTGCATATAATTTAATGCTAAATAAATAGGTTAAAAATATTGTTTCAAATGTCCAACGACGTATATCATATTTTTATAATTTTTGAAAACATAATTTATAATCAATTATACAACACATTTTATTTTTTTCACTACCCATAACATCGCTTATAATCAAACTCAAGTCTTAAGAATTATTAAATGAACAGTGCATGATGGTTAACGAAACAACGACGCAATATGAAAACACTAAATGTATAATTTTATTTCATATTTTTCAAAGTATTTTTCAATAGATGATTATCTTAACACTCATATATAAAAGGGTAATTAGGACAAAATTAACGTATTGGAATAAAAAAATCCAGACACAATTCGTATACAGCCTTTTAAAATGTGCCTGAAATCAACGAAAAAATATTGAAAAACTGAAACGATTCAACCGATCAATGTGGTTACTTAAGTTTGATTTTTACTAGTTGCCATATAATTGTATTTTAGAAATTATTTTTCATTATAACTAAAATATTAATTTTACACCAAATATTATCATTTATCGTTAATGTTCGTACTTATGCAAAACTGGCAAGACCGGTAAATAAGAAATAGAAGGTCAAGAAATACCTAATAACTCATTATAGTAAAATTATTTTTTTTACAAGCCATAACATCGTCACCCTCCGGCGAGTCTTCATAATTGGTTACAATATATTATAAAATGTTTATAAATTGGATTTTTTTTTAACCTATTCTTCCCATTGAGTTTTGAAAATGACGTAAGTATATACTGCACTCTTTATACTAATAAATTGTGTACGCAAGTGAACGAACGCGTATATAATATTATTAAATTTACAATAGGTTATTTCGACGTGTTCGTCAGACGAATTTATAGATACCTATCGTTGAAAACCGTATTGACATTATATATTGTGATTTATTACGCTTTTCCATTAATATCTTTTAACGAGGGAATCATAATACTGTGTAAATTTGCTGGGTACTAATTCAATTTATCGGATCATTTGTTCAAGAAGTCAACTGAAATATTATATACATTATCACAGTATACTATAATAAATACGCCACCGATAATAGTACCTTTATATATATATATATATATATATATATATACTAATAAAATTGATAACTAATCTTAATAGTCATTGATTATAATTCCGTGTGTGTGTGTGTACTTTAATGTATGCTAATGCTAGTTTAGTGTGACGTTTAAGCCGCTGGGTGTATTATATATATATATATATACGGGGCAATAGTTTAACGTAAGACACTCATCACAAAATACACATTCTTAGATGATGTCTTGCGTTAAATAGATCACTCTGTGTGTATTGTTTATGTTCAGTGTCTCGGGTATACGCTTAAACTAAGTATAATGGTGACTGAAGTACGCATAGCGTTTATATAATATCGTACCTTGCATGTGAACATGACGTAGTTACTTATACATTATCTATAGGTAGATTATATAATTATTATATTGCATAAAAGTATACACAATATTGTAATTTATCACCAAGTAATATTAGGTATTATAAATTAAAATGTATAATAGGTATGCTATGTTTGTTCGAAAATTCGTGAATGTTTAGAAACATTATGTGATAAAACATTTAGTTTTAAATTTACATAATAATATTATTATGGACATAAATAATGGCTTAGTGATAAGTTGAAATTTATTCAAACCTGCCAAATGGACATTGTAGCTATTAAACAATTATTAATTTTATTATCGTAATATTATATAATATAAATGTAATTATAATAAATATAAAATTTACAAATCGTACACATACAAAAATAATAACAACATTAAGTATTTTATAACTTTTACTCGTCTCTGCGTAGCATAATATGTAGTACATCAAACCTCTATTCACTTATAATTCATAATATTTTATAGTTTTGCGAGTTCATATTTCTTTAGATATAATCAATATAAGTAAGTACCTCGAAATGTTTTTACCAGTTAAAATTTTTATATAATTATACAGTTTTATTTAAAATATTTTTGAAACAAATAAAACGTATTAAATACTATATTTTAAAACATACATTTATAAATAAACTCCTTACAGATAAAATATTTCCAATAATTTTTTCATAATAGATTCAGATAGCAAATAAATATTTCATTTGTAAAATATAATGGTAATATCATGCATTCATACGCCGTGCTAAAATGTTTACTATAAAAATTGAAGATAACAATATTATTTTATTAAGTAGAGGTGTCTATTCTCTAGATAAAACAAGAGTTTGTCGATCTGATCACATTGACTGTGGAAAATAAACACTATCGCTTGCTTGTCGAAGAAGTTACATAAATATTTTCAAAACTATGATGTGACTTAAGAGACTCCACAATATGTCATGTGTTTTCATTTGTGTTATTAGCACAAAAAACAAACAAAAAATATGTTTGAGTATAAACAAATATTTTTTATTCAAAAAATTAAAAATATTATATTATACATAGAATTGTTGTTATATCACGTCGGTGATTATTAGTTACATTGGTACAAACATTGGCGCGAAAGTCCGAGAAATATGAGACTAAAATAAGGTCGTAGAACATATGAGAGAAGGAGAGAGTAAGAAAACAATGGAATGAAGCTAGAAAAAAAAGCCCATTGCCTGAGACTTAACTTAGATAGAAACTTTTGCGGATGCCATTATGCGATGTCAGAGATAATACAATATTTTCCTAATACAGGGAACATTATAAAATAACGCACACGGTAACGCTTTGTTTTACAAAATAATAATAATAATAATATATTGATAGGAATAATAATAATAATAATAATAATAATAATAATCATACAGCTGATTACATCATTACATCGATGTAGTCGTACCATGTTAGTTCTAGGGATTAGGCTATGCCTTTTCCTTGATCTCAATTCCACCACCATTCCACTGCTTCAGTGAGTTCTTTTGTCCACGTTCGCTGCAGTTTTTGAAATGCTGCTGAAGCTTTTCAGCAAGAACTGCGTGACCGGCTGCTCTTGCCACGTCTATTGGAGTAATGTCCAGCAAATCGCACGGGGGACCGGCGTCGATTTGCCCGAGCGCGAAAATAGCTTCGTGTAGTGACAACAAGTACTCGACCACTTCAATTTGGTTTGTGAGCGCAGCCTGTGCAAAAATAATACATTGAATATAGATTTCAATGTTTCTCAACACCATTTTTTTGAAATAATGACCCAAAAATTAAACACTTCTCCTATCAATTGATCCATTCAATTTGGAAAACACTAGCTTAAACATCTACAAAAAAAATGTGTAATTTTTTATGCAATTCTTTAGTACCTACGTAATTAGCAGGTATTAGCTCGCATTTTTATTGTTAAAAATTTAACATACAAATACAGTAAAATGTCATTAACTTAAAGTTAAATAAAAAGTATATTAATACTAATATGAAACTTAAAAACGCATAGTTAGATCTATAAAAACAGAAATTTACTAAATTTTATCTTAAGCTATAAGATAATAATATACGGTATTTGTTTGAATTTTATTATCAAAGTGCTTCCTATAAATATCTGACTAGAATTCTCGTTTTTCTTAGAAAGTCTGTACTATTGATATAAACGGATTGAAAATAATATTCAAATAGTCGCTTATAGATATTATTATAAATTTGTTTTGAAATAAGTAGTTATACATATTCACGCTACTAGTTGTATGCCACAATACTAAAATTATACGATTTAAAAAAATGTAAATCTTATTTCGTACTCTTTATACCTATCGGCTACCTATCAAAGTATTTAATTACATTAGTACACTACTTTTACTATTTACTAAGCTATTTTAACAAACAATATTACCTAGATAGTATTTATAATCTAGAGTAGAACAAACTTTTTTAAAGACATGGTGATTGACAAGTGATGATAGTTATAGATAAATAGAAAATGTAAATTAAGATTACTCTAATCTCTGTATAAATTATACAGCGCACGTCGCACGAAATAGTTAAAATAATATTGAAAACCAAATATAAGTGTTATGCACAATAAACATGACAAATATTTACTATCGATAATACAATACGTACTGCGTGCAATGGCGTTCTACCAAACATGTCTTTGGCAGAAGTCGGGTCGGCTCCAGCGGCCGCGTAAGATTGCAACCTCTGCAAGTTTCCTTTGGCCGCGGCGCTGTTGGAATTAAATAGATTAATAAAAATACAACTGCCTGACATAATAATCATATATCTTATCCAGATAATATTTAAAAACCTATAATTGCTTTAAAATGTTTTCTGAATAGATTTATAAAATCCTTGCAAATTTCCATCAAATCAGGATTTTTATGTAAATAAATATTTATTTTAGTATTTTATAATTATATTGAATACTGCATACGAATTTAAAATCAGCTTATAAAAAACATATAACATATAATATAGGTATATTATTTTTATACAACTGAATATTGATCAATGTATTCAAACATTAAACATTTAATAAATTAATAGTAAAAAACTTTAATGGCATGATTCAGTATCCCACGATTGGTTCATTAGATTTTAATCAGCCATTGAATGCATTTATGTTTTATATAATTTTGAATAAATACTAGACAGGAGTCGTGGTTATTATTATGCCCTGGACGTCTACGTAAATATTCCTCGACAACCACTCACTTGCATAGTTGTTGGCCGACGTGCTTAGCGGGCGAGTTAAGATGGGCACCGCACCTTCGTAATAGTGCCACAACGTCGTTTCGGTCGTTTTCGACGGCCTCGATCAAGGGTGTCCTATCAAATCTAAAACACAATTAAAAACAAAAAAATATCGATAAATATAAATATACAATATTATTACTATGTTGTGATCGTACTTCAGTGATGTCATTTAAACTATAAAATTAGTACGGGTAATTTAAGGTAATTATTGTGAGGTGCATAAAATAGATAATTATATAGTTCACCAAAGCTGTGAGCTTAAAGTTATTAAATTATTATAAATAATAAACTATTATCTTTTTTTTTTTTTGTACTTGGGGGCTAACGTTTAATTTACTTACTTATCTTTGATGTGTACGCTGGCTCCGTTTAACAACAGGTACCGGACAATGCGAACGTCTCCCAAGGCGCATGCTAAGTGCAAGGCTGTACGGCCGTCAGCGTTTTGTGCGGAAAAGTCAGCTCCCTGAAAAACATATAATGAAAAGCCTTGAAATCAATTAACATTCATACAGAAACTTACTATATTTTCTTGTTTTGATGAGTTAATTAAATTAAAAAATAGAAAAAACACGGTGGGACATTATCTATACATTATTATTGAGATATAGGCGATAATATATAATTTCACTGACGAAGAAATAAGACCGGATTTCAAATAAATATATGTATATTATATACTTACGAAGCCTTTGAGTTCGTCCAGTTTGTTCAAGTCAGAACGAGCAACGGCGTTTCCTAGCATAGCGGGAAACAGGACGCCTCCGAGCGCGGTCAACTCTTGTGAACCATTAACGTGTAACAGCGTGCGGGCTACTGCGTCTACTAGATCCCACTCGTCCGCGGCGCGATTCTTTCGTGGTGGTTTTGGCGGTCCACCGCTCATTTCGCCCCTCAAGTTTGCACCAAGCATCTATATAATTTGACAATATTACCGCAATGGTATTTATATATTGTACTACAGCTGAATAACTCAACTTTTTCCAGGGAAAAATAAACATTCATAAAATACGATTTTATACTCGGTATAACTATAACCTCGGATTAGATACATAATTTGGTATATTTTCAATAGTAAATCAAATTACTCTCTTTATTAAGATTGGTTATGTAGTTTTTGAATTAACCATTAGTAAAAAGACTCATTTCACATTTATGTACAAATATTAAATAGCCAATAGGTATACCAAAATGAAAAACGAGCGTTTATGTACACTTACCATTCGCTTGGTGCTCAGGTCCCAGTCGTCTTTGGATAATACGTATGAGAGTTTGGCTAGTGCTGCCTCAGGTGTGATGTCGTTACCTGATATAACGCCAACCTGGTTTAGCACCTGTTTATATTATGTATGAAAAATAAACAAAAACAGTAATCAGTTACAGTTTTAAAATGTTTTCATATAAGTAATCAGTTAAATTAATTTACTAATCCACAATTGTAATTTGACGAGCAGTGCTTGCCAGCTAAATACTAAAATAAATTAATAATATTTTATGCACATACATTCCCTGTTTGGTAGACGGCCGTCACCGATCCTTTGAAACATTGACTACAGTTAAACACAATGACGCCTCTGTCAGTAGCGTTTTTCAGCTCGGCCATAATGTCGGAACGGTTTCCAGGTAAATTTCCAGCTCCATATGTTTGGAGCACCACTCCTCGGATAGGTGGCTGCAGAAACGTCCGAACCTATATCATCCCTCCCCCCGATATAGTGTTAGTAAATAAAATATGAACATTATTTAAAATAGCGTCGCCGATTGGACTTTGCACAAGACATCTGTACGTGATGAATTCATCAGGTTAACTTCAATATAATACGATCAATATACTTCGTTGTCATGCAAAAAGTAGCTAAGAGTCTGAATAAGTAATCGAATTAACTAAATATATTAGTTATTATTACGTATATATTAATAATTAATACTGGTTATTTTATATTTTTTGAATTTATACGAGTATATCAGTACGGTATTAACTATTAATACCTTAATTAAGTTTACCGTAATATAAATATTTATACATTAATTATTGTTAGTCACTTTTTGCATAAGAGTGGCGATGATATTAAAAAAAAAAAAAAAAAAATATATTTTAGAAATGATAACTATTGTTTACCGTGTCAGCTGTAATGTTGGGGAAAATTCGCAGCAAACTGACGTTCTCGTCAAGCTGTAGGTGGACCGCGAACTTTTCGATAGACCTCGGCCTGAAGATCTGTCTAAATGATACTGCAAACCAATATACAAAAGACGATGATATTACAATAATAATTAATAACGATGAATCGTGAAAAACACCGTGTAAATATAAAATAGATAGATTAGCGAAAAATTTAGCTAATTTGAGTTGTTATTGTTTTAGTATTTCTGACTGAAGCCCGTCGTACACGATTGTTGTCTGGGGGGGGGGGGATGATAAAGAAATATGTTGATTGTGGCTGTGCTTCCAATCCCCCCAAAAATTTAATATTTTATGAGTATATTATATTAATGATTCGTTAAAAAAATAATAATTTGTTCTTGCTATGATCGAGTCACATTTCGAAGAAAATCGTTGAAACAACTTTATAACTTTATAAATTACTAGTGACGTGAGAATACTTGAAGGGTCTGTAATAGTTTATTGCACATCATGATCAATTTGATTACCTCTACCAATATAGGAGTTTATGTGAATAACAGACAATATTCATCGTCTAAAATAATTGTCATGTTTCGAAAAACAAAAATATTTTTATGGTTTTAAGTATTTATATCATTAAAAATACAAAATTAGTTCTGCTGAATGTAAATTTGCTTTTTTAAGTTTATAAGACGAACACGACACATGCAAATGTTAAGTCCTCTTACTATTTATGCTTTAAAAATGTATAACTGATTTAATAACCAACAAGACTTTAAGTTATAAGTGTAAATGTCATGTTAGTAAATGGAAACATGAGTTATCGATATTATATATATATATTTCAGATATTATATGCATATACCATTTATGTCGATTCCGATGACGGCCAACGGTGCCAAGTTGGGTGAATCGAATGCAGCGAAGCTCTCGCAGTCAACCTTGACTGTACGATTACCGCGCAACAATTTGTTATGGAAAAGAATCGTCACCTCGGGGATGCAATAGTTACCTGCCATCAGCAAGCTGGTGACAAAGTTATCGCTTCCATCACTCCGCAAGTCAAATACTGGCAGCTAAATGGATATAACAAATCGTCCAACGGTCAGGAAACGACATCGTAATATTATAACATATCCCATCTATAGGCATGCAAATATTGGGAAAGTATTAGTGAGATTTGGTTCTCTAAAGCTAGAGTCCAGAATTACGAATGGTTCCTAAAATTTCCGACAAAAAATGTATGCGAGGAATCTAATAATAAACTATCTTATTCAAATAATTGAGGAGGGGACTAAATTTATGATTAAGAGGGCTGACTGTGCCAATGCGATTGTCATATTATATACTAAATTCTAATGAATAATGTTTGACATAATACGCTATTTATTTTTAATTTTTTGAAACTTCTACATCTAACTGTGATTTATCCATGTGACCAAAAATGACAGTACAACAGTGGCGATAACTAATTATAACATGTGCACAGATTTAAAGTAAACACGTGTAGTGTATTTATGTTTATAAATTATCATTAAGTTTAAAATATTTATTAAGTAGGTAATAAATATATTATATTGCTGCGTACCTATACAGATTTTAGTATTTTGTTCTTAATTTTATCTATAAAACAAATAAAACATCTAAACGATACTCACAAATCACGAATTTTGCAAAATTTAGTAAATAAAAAAATTGTTACGAATAACTTATCGGTATAGAAGGGTCACGCATGCCAGATTGGATGAAACTTAATAGTTAACAATATAAGTTAGATGAATATGGAAGAATCTACAGCCATACATATAGGCAATAAATATATGTTCATAACCAACGACATTATATAATATTTTTTAAATATTTATCATATTAATAATAATTTAATACCTGAGCACCCGTAATAATGATAGTCTTGCCAAGGTTCTCAAACATGAATGACAGTGCGGACGCAGTGTACGCTAGTGTATCGGTGCCGTGCAACACGACGAATCCATCGTACAGTTCATATGCTTGCTGTAAACCATTAGGTATATCGTTAGTATTATAATACTTAGTAATATTATTTTAATCCGATTCGATATAATTTGGACATTTCACACACAATACAAACGTATAGCAGTTTCTATTCTCAAGATGGTTCGGTAATGTGTTATATGACGAAAAATATGTTACAATATGTTACCAAACATGTCTAATGCTTTAATGAATTTTCCCCGTTTTTCTGCTAAGTAAGAAGTTGGCCTTTATTATTGATGAGCGATGGAGGAAGAAGTCTAGGTGCCACAGATGGCTTTAAGTTCAAACCCGACAACTTCTTTTTTACAAAAAATTTTATATTATAAATTACATTTATTAGGATTAATACCTGTAATGTAAATTGCTCCTGGATATAAAATAATTACCCGGTGTACAGAGACACTGTTTCTAGGAAGTACTACACTTGTTTATAATTTACTCAACATTCAAAATACCTTGGAGTAATGTTAGACCACTCACTCACATAAAGATTTCATTGTTAAAATACCATACAGAAATAATAACAAAGATTAAGGAATGGCATAATGCGGAAGCTTAGGGGTTCCACATCGGGTTTTAGCTTCTAAGTCTTAAGAATTACGGTACTAGCTTTTAACGTTTTAGGGAAAGAATATACATGTATGGCGAAGATCATCAGTAAAAAAAATTGATGTAACACATTAGGAGTCATGCCTAATAAATTCACAAGTTAAACAATTATATATTCTTTTGGAAATAATCTTGTTTCTTATATGTAGATCTATGTGAGCTGACAGGAAAAGAATGAAAATAATATCAAACTCACAGCATATCATATTCATTAAAATTGCTCAATTCTTACATCTTAAATCCAGGAAAATTTTTTATGAATAACACTTTAACTATTTTATTAACACGCCTTGAAGGAAAAAAGAATGTCCAAATTGAATAATCGAAAAGAGGTATATCTAATTGGGTTCCAAATTAGTCACTTTCACTGGATTATAATCAAGCATTACTGTACCGACTTATAACATGAATAGGATGAACGAAAGATAATTCAAAGAAATGAGAGCTGTTAGATAATGTTTATATCTTGTTCTTATGAAGAAAATAAAATAGAATGCAGCATATTATCACATACTCAGTTTAATCAAACATCTGCACTCCACAACGTTCATAAATAAGCACGCGAAGAAATCAACGTAGCCTTTATCTGAGCCAAAACAATATTAACTCACTAACAATGTTCTATAAAAATATTCCATATCATAATATACAATATTATATATATTTTATTTTGATTAACTTATCTGTGCTATATTAAACTACTTTTAATGTTATACAATATGTTTAACACGAATACGATTTAGTTTTGTTAATAGTTTACTGTAAAAGAACATAGTGGAACTTAGGAACATATATTTTCAGAAATTAATTTATAGAATTTTAGCCCTTCTAAGCAAGAAACAATATTTGTTTTTACTTCCGTCAATACTAATTACAAGGAAAAATAATCATCAAGCTAAAAAAAAAATGATTTATTTTTAATATTTTATGTTTAAACAACAAGTATGTCGATATCAAAATGCTTTTATTTTATAACTTTTCTCAAACCATAAAAAAATATTTCCAAACAATATACTAAAAATTATTTAGGTATATATATATAATATATTCTCAATTTAATGGTGATATAAGTCTAAAGAATATCATATAATTAGGCCAGATCCGTCAAGTACAATGAACTTTTTAGATTTTCTTCTATTTTATTTAAGCATTATTCTACTTAATAAGATAATTCCTGACAATATAGAGAGTCGGTGGTACATCAATTTCAGCAGCAGACGATACGTATAATTTTAAATTTAATTTAAGACCTGCTTAAAATACATTAAGAAATCGTACACAAGACATATTATTGTAACATATTATGTGTAATGTATATATTATGTATGTATAATATTTGTAATAGTCAGATGAAAACGATTACCTACTCAAAAAGGTCAACATTTGTGCTTCACGTGTCAACTAAATACACATTTGTTTTTAATTTCTACGAAACTAAATCCTTTGCTAAGATTCTAACCGACACGTGATCGACCACCATTATGTATTGAATTTTTGACAGAAAAATATACTATATCTCACCATACCTTCCTACGAGTCACATTAAAACTAATGATTATACGTATTAAAATGTACGCAATATAAATAACATACCCATATGTCTTCAGCTATGCATCGCCAATCGCGCATGCACATGTTACTTGAGTCTAATAGTTCTGGATATTGGTACACCGAGTAAACAATTCTCCGGAATCCCTTGACCATGCTGCAGTTGTGTATAAACATGACGATGATCGAAAAATTATTTTATAATTTTATTCAAACTACACTAGACTATATTTTATATTATTAATACTCAATACCAGTAGCGTATGCAGGATTTTGGTTAGAAGAGCCTCAATGTTAAAAGTTGATTACAAAAACACACATGGAGGACGCCGTTCACTCACATATTATATTAACCATATGCATTCCATGGGTTTATAACTTTCCATTGATTACAATATTTTTTAAATTGACAGTAAGTTTAAGTTTTTATACAAATAAAAATCATTTTAAGCGTATTATATAACAATAATTTAAAATATAGGTTTTAAATCAATAATTATCATATATGTATGCTATACAGTAAATTATCAAATATTAGTACATAATAAAAGGTAACACAATGCCTTTCATATATTATTGTCGGTGAGAATTAGAAAAAACCTATATCACATAAATCTATACTTACTATCGTTATTTATTTATTGATATTTGATTTAAAATATATGATATATCTTCCTGTATAATAGCACTTACATTTTATAAAATCTGACTTATGGGGATGAAGTTAACTTTATAACTATAAAACCTATCTCCCACGTACACCACCGGTTAGTAATTAATATTTTAATATATTTTGACAATTATACTTACGGCAAAACTAATGGGCTGCAGTTCATAGATGCTCCATACTTATGTTGTGCGTACTTAGCGTCGTACAACCGGGGGTCCTGGCGCATCTTGTGCTCCAATAGAAAATCAGTAGAATTTCCGTTGCTAGGCGTGGGCACCAACACTAAATAAAATCGTATAATATGTGTTCAAAAATAGTTGGTGTTTTATATTTACTGTGAGTATAGTAATAATTTTTTTTAGGAATATAATGAAAGCTTATGAATTACGTGTATATAATCGAACACGGTATTTCATACCTATATAATTATATACACTTGATATTTCTATAGAAAATATACAAACGCAGATATACAAGTCTTATAATGTAAAGATTTTAAACAACTCATTATAATGAGAAGTAACTGCTATATTTTTATTAAGTACAAAATATCTTTGAATAAAAATGCAAAAATGTAAATACAATAAGTCACGTTAGAGTATAATTTTTTAATTTAACTAGCAGAGTAATATTTTCTGGAAATCTAAAAGTTACAGTTACAATTACATGTAAATTTTGCGTTAAAGTTATATTTAAATATTAAATTTCCTTTATTATAGTAGTGTAATATAGTAAAAGGTTCACTTGGTTTCAAAAATATAAAATTATGTAATGTATAACTGTATAAGTAACAAGTAAATCTGTTCAAACTTCAACATATGTCATGATTCAGTGTAAATCATCTTCCTGCGGGTGGAGGGGATGATATTAAAACAAGAATTAAAAATTCATAAAAATAGTAAGTAAAATTTAAGAGGTTTATGTCGAATGTTTTTCCTGCGTATCAAAAGTTGTATTAGAAAATTATTTTTAGTTACTAGCCACTGCGATCAGTACTATCATATCATCGAATAATCGATAGTGTTTTAATTATGTTTAGTAAAAAATAATTATAATAAAACGCTTATTTTATAAAACGATCGGTACCGGTGGTTCTGCTTCATACAGTTGTTATTGTCGTCAATACACGGCGCCCGCGCCGAATTTTATTCGGAACGTTTTACAAACCATCAAAAATAATTATTTTCGTAACAATGTCATAGTAAGTGGTTAGTAAGTACATGCACAATATAATTAATAAATAAAGCTTACACATAATAATATTGTACAAAGATTTTGCTACAAACAGTTAGGGGTTATAGTTATATGACGATTACGTTATTAGAAGGGGCAACTTTGTATGTTATAATATTATTATATACACGGTAGGCACTTGTAATAGGTCGACGCCCGTTAGCGAAATCTAGAATATTCTTATAACAACTTTGTTGTTGTTGCCGTTCCGGTACAAGTACCTCCATAATATTATAATAGGTATGCTTGCTACAATAAACTATATCAAACTAAGAAAACGAGAATCACTGTAATTAATTACACAACTCGATTGTGAAACGGTTTTAGCGATCCGTGATTGTATTTAGATCTAGGTAAATTATTTTAATATAATAATCGACTTACGACGAGACACGTGTATAAACACGTGTTCGCCGTCGGCACCGCCAAAACTATATCGATGATCTTGCGTGTTTAATTAACGGTTCAAGGTCTTCATACCCACGAGATGATTAAAAAATTAAGATAAATATCATTAAACTGCCTAACTACTTCACGGCGAACAATGTGTACTTAATTTCTGCAGCGTTTTATTCCTACCAGAAAATCTGAAGTCACGTGACTAACGAAGTGAACTTTATGAATATAAGCTCTTCGATAGTGTTTATTGTAAATATTGATTATAAATTTTAAAAACATAACTTGCAATAAACGGTAAGTTAATAATTATACTAGAACCTATATGAAATAATATATATTATCTATATTACATTATACATGCACATTATACCTACTTACCTATTAAAATATGTTTACTAATACCTTTGTGTTTCTAACACGTTTCAATTCCATTTAAAAAAGTCAATTAATTTGTTTAAATTAAAATTTGAAACGACATTTTTTTATTATTATTCTACATTGCTTAATTTTAATATTAACTCAGTAATTCTTTCAGTATTGAATAACTATTATTTTAAAATTTATTAACGTTTTTGAAAAAAAAAAAAAAACATTTTTTATATAATTTCCAACTGAAATAAAATAAAATTTTTCTGAAAAATTATATTTTTATCGTTATAATATTTTAAGTTTTTATTTTTTTAAATTACAGTATACATTTTAAATTTCTTATTTTAAAGCAAAATATTTTTCGGAATATTTTGATATAGAAGTAGTAAACTAACGTTAAACGAGATATGACTGTACATCACATCTTCGCTCGCCTAAACTTTAAATACTTATAATTCATAAACTACTCGTCCAAATTTCAATTTTTATGTATATAATTTTTTTCCACGAAAAAAATATGAGTTTAGTCATATATGCGTAACTGCGTAACTACGGAAATTAAGAAAATACCTTAATATCGTCCCTAGGGTATAAACACGAATTTTAACAAAGTGTTTAAGATACCTTTAACTCAGAATTATAGAACTAGTAAATTATTAATTCAATAATATGAATAAATAAATATAGCTTGTATAAAACAATCCCAAAAAATAGTTATTACATGTACAAAATCATAATATTATGCAATTAATTGTTATGATTTTTAGTGTATATCGGATATATATTATATTGCAGAGTGAATTAGTTTAAACAGTAAATATTCGTTATTTCGAAAAATATTAACTTATTTAAAAAATATAAATTACCACGTTAAAAAGTCCAATAAATATTTTAAAATATTTTTATTTATTTATTTTTATATCCATATCAACCCAGCTATAAATATTCTTAATATTTCATAGTAAAAAGTTCAATACCTATTTTTCTAAGAATTTTTATGTAAAAAAAACGTTCAAATAAAATTTCAATAATATTGTACTTGGTTTTTTTTAGTTTAAAAAAAAACATTTAGATGATCCGAATTGTGTCCTGCAAAATTTTCTTTTTGTTCGAACAGCACTATATATATAGACAAATTGTGCTTATATAATCGCAGAACAGGATTCATCGATTCTAGTTGTTTACTTCCAAATGTTTTAGTTTTAGTCGTTTTTTTTTTTTTTTGTTTTAGCTGGTTAATAACATAATATGTCACTCCCCCATAATTATTATTACTATATTATATCGTATATACATTATAAGCTTACTGTTATCGTCATTTCGGATCATACCGATGGTGCCACCCGTGTAGATAACCAAAACTTTAGACTCATTCTGGTCGCCATCCTCGTTGGCAGTCGTTGAGTCGCACCGTTTACGGAACGACTGTGGCGGCGTCGTTCCTAGATATGATGGCGATGGTATAGACCGGAGGTACGGTTGCTGCACAGTAATACCGTCAGTGCCACCGTTTTCAGCGGACACAGAGATCGTGATGTCTGTCGGATTATTTACGATGTCGCCGTTCAGTCGCGATTCTTGTTGCGGATTTTGATCCATTGGAATAAAAAAATATATAATCTTACTAGAAAGTAGTAGTAGTAGTAATAGTAATAGTGGTATCAGTAGTAGTAACAAAAGTAGTTTCTATTGCAGCGACGTATCTTTGACACAACACCTACAAATGTGAAATAAATATAATTAATTCATTACCAGCACCACAGTACATTTACTCACAAAATATATAATTTATTATAGTATAATATTATTTAATATATAGCGTGTCAATGTGATAGGTACCTATCTGAGATATAAACGGGTTATTTGGGAATTCTATTAAGATGAAAATATAGATTTATTTTATCGTCAGAGTTTTATTAGAATATAAATATTAAAAACTGTATAGCTAAGTCAAAATTAAAAAAATAAGAATAATCTTAATTTTGATTACCAGCGCTCGGTTAAAATATTTGGCTTTTTATAAGTTACGTTTCTAGTTTTGTGTAAGTTTTCAAGTTTTAATTCAAGGTAATGTCATCTAGGCCATCTATTAATATGTATGATAAAACTACTGTCGTTGTACAAATGCGCGTCAGACCGCCAAAATATGTACGAATGCACAGTGCAATACTAAAATACACTAAATTCTACAAATTTATGTTTTAATTTTAAAATGTTCATATAAATCTATACAGTTTGAAAAATCAGTAAGTATTTAAATTTTTTTTAACATTAGGATATTTGAAGAGTTAAAACCCTAAGATTGGTGCATTTAAATTGGTGGGATTTTTGTGTAAACGAAAAAAACGTAAAATAATTACTAATTAACTTTTTACTTTATTCGTGCGTACACTTAGTTCTCTCGCATCGCACCAAAAAATCATGCAAACAATGTCTACCACGTAAACCGCTTTCCCACTCCAGCAAAGGTGACACTTACATCAAAGAGGGAAGTCAAATTTTATTTAAAGACGAAAAGAATAAAATTATAGTAAAAATAATAATTAATTAACATTGAAACCCTATGAATTTTTATTTTCATTCGTATTACTTTCGAGTACTCACTAATTATACCTATGAATTATATAGTATGACACACAAATCACAATTATAATAAAAATATTTTATTTACACATTTGTACATTACCATTTTTGATGATTTATTAGTAATACTAAATATGTTATTACTTTATTAGTAATATTTGATATTAGTGGAAAGCAAATAGTTTTATTTGTAGTTTTATTTATTGAGTGGTGTCGTTTCGTAAAAATAGCCTAATAACAAAAACGTTTTATGAAGTTTATGAAATAATAGAAAGTGTAACATATTCCTTAACACATCATTGTATGCGAACACATCATAATACACGCGATGGGAGTATAATACTATGCTACCGCTAGTGGATACAATAAACGTAATGATAATATTTACAATTTATAGTATATATTAGACATACCGATAACGAAGATATATTTCGATCGAAAAAATAAAACAGTCTTACGAGCTCCGTGATCCAGACGCAAATGAAATGAGACGTGTGACGACCGGATATGGCAGAGTTATAAACGGAAATTTAAGCAACAGAGGTGACTATTAATTATGTTAAATCTAGTCAATGACCATAAATATAAACCGTTGTTGTTACGCCACTAGACAGTGCGCACGGCTTATGATGTACACGTGCAGTGCGCGAAAACGAACTGCGGCCGCAGACAATATTATTGTTGCGTTTAACGCCGTCGCAGCCCGTTTTAAATAAGACGGTTACTGGTTGCGATGCAGCAGGTCGCCGCCCAACGGAGAGTCGCTGCGTTTGCTCTTCACTGATATCACAGTAATTATATAATACATAATATTATAATTTTGATCCCACAGTAATAATGTTTAGGTACATCATAAAGCAATAGCCGATGGAACTTGCACGCGCACAATCGCAATAGTTAACATGACATAATTGTAAATAATATAATCATTATTGTTCTCATGTAATTATTACTTGGCAGACGTAGCGTGGTAAGATGATAATGAGAAACGGTGATTAAATATATTTATTGAAAATAAGTGATTTCCAGCCGAGGCAAACGGGAATGGTAAAAAAAAATATTCAAATCTTCAGACATAATTACGGGAAGAAATCGTAATTTTTACGTATTTAAGTATCTAATACACGAACTACCGTGGTTTTAAGATTGATGGTGTAATACCAAAATGTCTGAGTAAAGAGTAACAAAAATAACCAAAAACAGAAATGCTTGAAAAATTTTTTAAAATATTGTATTTTTAATTATAATAACTGTTTGATTTGATTCTTAAGTTTTTAATATTTATCCATGTTTTCCAACATGTTTAGTACAAAAAAATTAATTATTTTATAAACTAGAATACGATCAACAATGAATGCAATATTTAAATATTTAAAAAATTTGACAATTATATGACTCTCTTAATATCTACTATTTAATATTCTTGTCTTTTATATTAAGATACGTTTGATAAATATAACTTAGATAAACGTATAAGTAATTAATTCAATTATTATTTAAACATACAGGACAATGAAATAATTATAGATGAAGTCATGTTCTAGAAACACAAATGCATTAAGTTATTATTTTATTCATTATCGTAATCATTAAAGAGTTTTAAAAGCATTTCATTATCTATCTTAATTCTTTAATTTAAATTTAATTTAGTCGGCACTAATGACCTCTATATCTTTTGTAACATAATTAACTAAATCACAATTGTTATTCGTTAAATATTTAAGTAATTGCAACTAATTTTATTGAGCAGAAGTTAATACGAATAGCAAAATCATATTTAAAAAAAAGCAATATACATTTGACAAGCATGTTCCCCCCCCCCCCCCCCCCCAATTTTTTTTTAAGTTAAGAATATGTTAAAATACTGATTTTTGAATTTTTAAGTAAACTTTAGAACAATATTTCCAAATAATTACATTTTATTACCATTCAGGAATATCTTATGGACTATGACAATAGTAACATCTTTTTTTTTGAAAAAGGAAGCATTTATATTAGTATTTTTTTTTTGACATGCAGGTATGTACGAGTAATATTTTAAATATTTTAACTCTAAAATTTGAGTTATTTATAGATATTTGAAATTTCGATATTAAGTTTATAATTTCACCTTAAAAATAAAAATTCATCAAGATAAAATGGTTTTTAAGTATTTGATGTTCAAATTTTAAAAAAATTAGATACTTGATTTTTCTCAACAATTTTATTTAGTTTATTTTAATTAAAAAAATATATGAAGTTTAACAATTTGAAACTTTTAATCATTTTGTATGTTTATTATAATTTTTTATGACCAATTAAATATTGAAAATATTTGGATTTCAGACTAATATTAAACTATTTTATACCAATTTTTGGTACGTTGGTATTCATAGAAATTTGATTTATGTCACGCAAAATAAAATGTATTACATTATTTTCATCTTAAGTCAGGTTTATTTGTGTCACATACTAGTTTATTAAAATCAATTATTTTAAAAAGAAATAATAACCTAACGTGTCATTTAGCTTAATCCTTGAAGTATTTATAAAGGTATACTATTTATTTAAAATACAGCCATGCAGCTTGTATCATAATTTATTTTTTAACCATCAGCTTGTATTGGCATGATAATAATATACATCCCCTTTAATTTATTTAAAATTTAATTATTTCCTCTATTTTAAAAATGTTTGACATTTTCAAGTTTTTAGTAATTTTATAATTATTATTTTAAATAATTTTAAGTCATACAGTTTTGAACTTATAACAGGTTATAGGTAAAGTTTCAAATCCCTATTGTATTAATTACCTAAAAATTAAGTTAACCTTTCTCAATTTTTAAAATATATAAAAGCATATTGGTAATGATCTGATTTACATGTATTTTTTCAGAAATTTAAAAAAATAATGTTTGAACAGGAGCCCATTAACAATGAATGGATCGAAGTTCAAATTATGAGCCAAATTGAAACAAGATATGATATATTTAAAATTTAAAATTAATTTTTATTATACGTATATAGTTATGATATACCTACGTCCTATGTACTCCTACACATATTAAAAGCATGAATGTATATATTAACACTTAGGATATCTTAGTATGTTGATTTTTGAGAGTTTTTTAAATCTAACTGATAAATTTTAGCTAAAATAATTCATGATAAATTATTACCTACTTATAATATACGATGTTAATAAGATACTCAACTATATCTTTATTACATAATTATGTTGTTATATGTAGATTATTTATGTACATAATATAATGTATGACTACTAATCAACTGCACAATAGCGTTTTTTAATTTTATCAAGAACTTATATTTTGTATTATTTTTGATTCGTATAATACTACAACGTGTACAACGATACCTATAAGCTATAGTATTATAATAATTAATACTATATTGTTAATGACATATATTAACTATTAAGTCAATATTTATACACAGACATTTCCGTAAAGACTATGCATATTTTATATGCCACGATTAGTGCATATACATTTATTGTAAATGTAATATTTTCAATCTGTATAACATATCTATAACAAGTCTGTGCAACAACCTTTTGTAGTGCTTTCTCATTTTCTTATTTTTTAGCCAAACTATTCAAATTAGGAAAACATATACCATTATAAAAATGTTTAAAGGAGTAGATTCCTAGTTTTTTACCGAGGTTTTATTTTTGAAATGTAAATTATGAAAGAAATTATTGTAGCTATATGTCTATTGTTAACCTCAACTAGTTATAAATAAATTAAGTATTGAAAAAAATTTTGGCGGACTTCTTGAAAACACTGATTATTTTATGTATAGTAACATAATTTACGTTGTTATAATTTATTGTCTATCTAATTTGAACGGTTGATTACACGAGGAGAAATGTAAAATCTAATAGATAGTATAGATTATATATATCTATGTGTGTTGTACTGTTACTAATATTGTTATGTGTAATAATATTATGCATAAATAGGTACATATATTATATTATACATTTATAAGCAGTATGCGATAAATTGTTTATAAGAATTTACAATTGCTATGTTAATACAAATTAAAACTTTGAATGCAATCATTACATAATATGAGATTAATTTTTATTGCACTTATTTATAGACAAAGTGAATTAATCGATATCATAATTGTAGATGTATTAGTATACTAGTAAAGTTATAGATAATTTAAAATAATAATTTATTAATTAAGATAACATGTTACCATTGATACTCATATGGCTATATCACATTATGGTCATTATATATATATTGGATAATTATATAGTCTCTGTCAGTTTAGTGCATAATACAATATTTTTTTATATTATGTACTCAATCAATATTTAGCGTAAATACATAAAAAAAAAAAAAAATCATAATTAAATAATGACGAGACTGATATATTTTAATAAAGCTAACTTAATCTAATAAATTTGATAAAATGATAAATAACTAGTTAAGTTGAAGATATTACAATGTTTTATTGTAGTTTAAAAAATAATAATAACGGTAGTTAGTAGATCTTAATTCTTAATAGCAACTATGTATAATTTATAAAAGAATCAAACCTACATCAATACAAAATGCACCTAATTTAAATACTTTTCAATTATTAGATATCAATTCAGATACCTAAAGCAGTAAAGCCTAAGCAAGATAGGTATACATTTTTATTTTATTACGGTATCACATCAAACTCTCACAGAGTGTTAGCTTAATATTATAACAAAATAGAATTAATTATCTAATCGTAGGATATATTGATACATCATCCACCGTATCAGTCATTCAGTCATAACAATGAATGTTTTGGTTAGTTATTTTAGTGTTAAAATAATTATTATTACTTATCTATAAAAATAAAGAAAACTATATTTCCTAGAGAATCTTATTTATTTATTTTTTTTTTTTTGAATTTAAATACTGAATAATTGAGCATTTTTAAAACTAAATAAATATTTTTTATGAAAAAAAAAACTATGCTACATTAAAATTAATATATAGTATACTATAAATGTTTAATCAGAAGTTAAAATCAAATTTGGTTGTTAAATAAACTTGCAACATTTTTATTTATCTTTGAATTAGATAGCAACACGTGACGTCAAGTATAACTAATTATAGTTAGAGCTGAACTCTTTAAAAATTGCTGACGTAAATTGTAAAAAAAAATGTCAAGAGTATAAGATTATTGATTATTAAATATACATATACTATAAGGTGATTATCTAAATAAGATACAATCAGTATTCAACATTTATAATAATTTAGTACCTACGTTAAAAAAATAATAAATTTTAATAATAATTTTCAAAAAGAGATAATTTACTTGGTAAAATATATTGATAAAATAAAATTAAGTAAATTTTATACTAATGCGGCATATATTCAAAATTCAAAATATAAAAAGGTTAAGAATGGTACAATATGTTTAATACTATACATTATTAGAACTTTTTTTATATTTCCTGTATGTATAATAATTTTAAAAAATATGAAAAATGATAGCTTATTAGTTATTAGTAATTTCTATTTAAAAATTTTAACAATAATGTTATTGAATAATTCATGCTACTCCAATCGCATTGTATAGGTACATAAAAAGCAAATACCTACTTATATATTACAACATATTTATTTCTAACATTAATTTATTAAATATTGATGATCGCACAATCTTTAACGTTATTTATTATATCTAAAAGTATTATGTGAATTGTATGCTTAACAATAATATTGTAGTGTTACATTTTAAATTAAATAATATATAAATTAATCAATTTATACAGGCACACTTTTGTTTTTATATTATTTACCTATTATTTTTCTATGTATTATTATACAGTACTTTGTATAAATTTTTTTTCAGATTCTGAGTGGAGCGATAATCATAATAAAATTCGTATTTTTTACACACTTAAAAGTTCAAATTTTTCTAAGATAAGAAAATTAAAAACGAGGTTGTATATAAGTTTTTCCTACAAAAATTATAAAACATCGAGTGCAACAAATTCCAACAATATTCTTATAAGCGTCTGAAATTATATATGTACGAGTAAATTAATTTCTCATCTAACAATTATAGTTTTATTGTTGTAACTCAAAAACTATTTATCATAAAAGCTTGAAACGTTATAAATGTTACTTAAAATAACATTTTCTAAACTATGAAATTTTCAAAATACTTGTTTAAATTTTTTTAATTACTTATAAGCATTTTAAATTTTCTAGTTATATATATGTGTGTATGTGTGTGTGTGTATTTAATTTATATGTTGATAAAAAATGTTCAGAGTTAGTCAAAAATCTTTACAATTTAATTATAAGATCTCACAAAAGTTAACATTAGGTATCTATAACTATTTAAAAATATTTAAAATACGTAACATGAACGTATTTGAAGTTCAAATTTTGTCAAAAATCACGAACATTTGAAAATACATTTTTAGTAGGTAGGTAGTTAAAATTTATGAAATATTTAATTGTTATAACTAAGTCTTAATAATTATGTACAAGATTTCTTGGAAATAGTCTAAACAAAAACCAAAAAATTTAAGAATATACAAATAAGCACTTTTTTTAAGTATTTGAATTTAAAATTCTGACAAAATTAGGTATTTAACGAAAAATAACGATTTTAGTTGTTTTGTTGAATTCAGAGTATTCATAGGGACTTGACACTTTTACATATATTATTATATTTTATATGGGTATGTATTCAATTTTCAAAATATTTCAATTAATTTTAAATTATAATTTATTTATTTATTTATTTATACGGACCTATTCACGATATTCAATGGAAGTCGGTAGTAATTTAAAAGTTAAAAACAGTGTACCTAATAAAATATGATTGAAATATATATAATTAAAATAAATGCATGAAAAAATAATTACATCTTTCGTATTACTAATACTTAAATAAATTTGTATAATATCAATATAAATACATAATATCAATAGATATAGGATATAAATATATTATAATCAATATTATATACTTATAGTAATATAGGTTGACAAATATTCTTTGCTCATAATCGTTTTTGTATACAATGACTATTATCATTGAATTTAAATTAAACACGCGCCTATTATACATTAGCTTATTCAATTCGAAGTATTCTCGACACTACTGTACTGATGATGGGCTTTTTACTCGTTTAGTTTTTAGTTTTTATTGTTAAATTTACCAATATTTAAAATTGTATATCTTAATAAAAACATTTTGTTTTATAATAGTTATTTAAACATAGGTACGTACTTATCATTTGTTTAATACTATAAAATTGTATGATTTGCAACTGAGTAGTAAGCACTACAAGAAATTAGTAACATGCATTCACTGTTGTAAAAAAAAATTACAAGTAAATATTTTTACTCACATAATTAAGCATAATAACAATAACAATTAAGAAAAATATCTTTGCTGTTTTCACGTAGATATGAATATAATACTATTTTATTGTTAAGTACAATATTATACCATAAAATATATTCACAATATTAATGAATTCGTGAAAAATGAATGTGATTGACTTATATAGACGTTCTATGGGCAAAAAAAAACTAACAAACAACAGTAAACATATTATTATTTTATTAAAAATACTCAATAAATTTTAGTTACATAGATTATATTTATATTTTACATATATTATATGGTACCTACGTATATATTTAATTTAAAACCAGGTAAGACTCTTTTAATTACCAATATGTTATCATTTTAAGACTTGAGATAGCTGGCAGGCACTTAAAAAGCAATGTCTCTATAATTGTTAGGTATACTTGTTATTTTACGTATTATGGGATATACATATAAAGTGCCAAGTCTCAAATCATTATTACCCGTGATTTGTATGTTATTCTGTTTCAAATACGAAATTGTATACATATAATAATCAGTGTTTCAATAAACCAAAAATAAAATTATAAATGTATTTAGGTACGAACATTTATTTTTCGTTTTAATGATAAAAAATTCAAAACGACAATTTTTAGAAAAAACAATTCATCATGGAACTTTAATTGATTGAAAATAGATACCAAGCTGTAGCCATTAAGTACTGACAAATAGGTA